TTTTCCTCACCACTATAGGTTTTAAACCAGTGCTGTAGGTTTTATTGCAACACTTCTGGTGTTCATTTGAAACCAACACTGTAGGTGCTATTGCAACACTGTTGGTGTTAATTCAGCACTGAAGGTCAAAATTCAGCAATTTAGGTTTTAAAGGAACACTGTAAGAGTCAGCTCAACACTCTAAGAGCCCATTTAACACTGTGTTGTAATTTAGCATTGCAGCTGTTGTTGTTTCATTCAGCACTGTTGGTGTTAATTCAGCACTGGCGGTCTTAATTCAATGTTGTAGGCAATAAAATTCAGCAATTTAGGTTTTAAATGAATACTGTAAGAGTCAATTTAACACTTTAAGAGTCAGTTCATCACTGTATGTGTCGATTTAACACTGTGTTTTAATTCAGCATTGCAGTTGGGTGTTATTTCTAACACTAGAGGTGTTTAACGAGTACAGTTAGTTTTCGCTAAACACTGTTGGTGTTAATTCATCACTGAAAGTCTTTATTCAACATTGTAGGTGTCAAAATTTAACATTATAGGTTTTGAAAGAACACTGTGAGAGTCAGTTCCTCACTGTGAGTGTCAATTTAACACTATTGTCATTCATCATTGCAGTTGGGTTTTTTTCAACACTACAGGTGTTTAACCAGTACTGCTGTTTTTAATTCTAACTGTAACTCTGTTGGTGTTAATTCAACACTGGAGGTTTTCATGTAACGTAATAGATGATTTCATTCAACATTATAGATGATTTCATTTAACATTATAGACGTTTTCATTCATAACATAATAGGTGTATGTTATTTCAGTGTATTTGTTAATTTAACACTGTATGAGTAAATTAAACACTGGAGGTGTTTTAATTTGACATACTAGGTTTAAACTCAACACTATAAGAGTCAGTCCACCATGGCAGGCTTTGTTTCAAGTTAAGGTTTCAATGCAATACTGATGGTTTTACTATTTAGGCACTGAAGCAGACAATGAGATAAGTTAGTTTAGTTGACTCTGCCTGTCCGTCTGTCTGTCTCTCTCTCTCACTCTCTATCTGTTTCTGTCCATCAGTCTGCCGCAAGGCGAGCGGGGACTTCGTGTGCTAACTGTCAAACAACCACCACGACGCTGTGGAGGAGAAACGCGAATGGAGATCCGGTGTGTAACGCCTGCGGTCTCTACTTCAAACTGCACAATGTAAGCTAACACACATATGCACTCCTTTATAGGGAATCTCATTTTTTTCTACCTTTCCTTCTCCATCCATTCCTTCATTCATCTGTCTGTAACTCCCTATTGCTGGGGGTTTGATTTGGGTCACTAATGAAGCTGAATCATAGAGCGTGTGCAGAGCAAAACTAATGCTAGCATTCTTAATCAAGCAAGTATAATACAAAAGACTATTAAAATAAATGTATTATTAGCCCTTCAATGGTATTAAATGCCTATTATTAGTACTATTAGCCTAGTGTCAGTACTATTAGCCTACAATTAGCCTATTATTAGTCACAGTTATAATGATATGATAGCTCGTATTGTTGCACTTGCAGTATTGGGATCAGGAGTTGTTTTTGGATGGCTCTTGAAAAATCTGGAAAATAAAACCACTTCGCTCAGGTTATCAGAGAAAACAACATTTCCGCCTTAGATGTTATTGTTTGAAGTGACCCAGGCTCAATGTATTTGCAGACGGAGTTGGTTTTGGTCACTCCGACACCCCATCTGAAACAGATCCAGAATTTTTGTGGGGTAAAAGAATGCTTTTCCCATTCTGTGCTCTGCCTATCAGAGCACAGCTACAAACCTTATCAGACTGGAGCTGAAACTCTATGAGAGAATGAAACCTTGCACTACTGTGAGTGTGTGTGTGTTGGTCTGGCTTCGTGTTAAAATGTCTCTGAAATGCCTCTGCTTGTGGTCAACCTGTCTCTTTCTGGAGTAGAACAAAGAAGGCAGTGGGAGGACAGTGGTTTAGTGTGTGCAGTAACCACAGCACGTGTGTGTGTGTGTTTGTGTGATGGTCAGTGGAGTTCAGAGGCTCCTGCTGACCTCTGATCAGCTTTAGTTTGTGTAACACTTGTGTGTATGTAGCACTAACGCTCTCCCACCCATAAACACACCCCTCAGGTAAACCACATCATCGTGTGTGTGATAAACAAAATCAGTGACACACAGGGGGAGGGGAGAGAGAGAGAGAGAGAGAGAGAGAGAGAGAGAGAGAGAGAGAGAGAAGAGAGTGAAACAGAAAGAGACAGAATAGAGAAAGAGAGGAAGGGCAAAGGGAGGAGGGAGAGAGAGGAAAGACAGAAAGAGAAGAAGAGAGAGGGAGAAAGAAAAAGAGAGAGGAGAAGGAAGGAAAGAGATAAGGGAAGGAGGGGATGGAGAGAAAGAGAGAAAAAACAAAGCTATGCAAAGAGAAGAAGGGAGAGCAAGAGGGAAGGCAAGAGAAAAAAGGAGAGATAGAAGGATTAGAAAGACAGTAAGGAAAGCGATAGGGAGGGAATGAAAGAGGAACGAGAGAAAGAGAGGAATGGAGGGAAAGGAAGAGAGAAAGAGGGGGAGGGAGTCTTCAGTCCACTAGAAAGACAGAGTAGAGAAAGAGAGATAAACCGGGAGAAAGAGAGCAATGGAAAGCAAGAAGGACAGGGAGAAAAAGATGGAGGGGGAGAGATGGAGAAAGAGAGAGAGAGAGAGAGAGAGAGGTAATGTAGGTGTTTGGCAGTAGACTGAGGTGCTGTGGCCGTGCCGCTGTTGCCCAGCGTCTGGACACAGTCTGGGGTTTCTCTCGTTGGCAAGCCTGTCATCAGCCCTGCCCGGCGTAAGGGAATCAGCAGCTAAATCCAGCCTAGTGCTGATATGACCTGACACACACACACACACAAGAGAAACGCAGGCAGATTTGTGCCATAATGAAGCTCCATTACATATGATCAGTGTGCCCTTCACCCTATGAAATATAAAACGCTCTTAGAGAGGAAGACTGAGGGATCCTTCTGTGCCGTCCAAAACCCCCTGAAACCCAGTAAAAACTAACCAGTTCCAGCTTCCTCTCCTCAAAACAGCCATTAATATTCTCTCACACCTCAGAACCAGAATCCTTTATAATTAGCCAAGAACAAGATGTATAAAGAAATTCTATAGGTGTATGCTTTAAAATAAAGTTCAAGTAAACAAAATACATATAAAATATAAAATATATAAGCGAAAACAACACTGACCCTTAAATTGCAGGTATATTTTTCAGACAACAGTCCTAAGGCTTCTTACTCAGCAGGTACTATGAATTATAGGGTAACTATTATGTAACTACTATGGTATAACTACTACATAATTATGTAACTACTGTAAAACTATATAAGTTCTGTACATACAGACACTTCTTAAGTTTTGATACCTTACAATTCCAGGCTTATTACATCATACATTGGCTTATTATTCAGTAACTACATAGACTACAGTGTAGTCTGAAGTTGATGACACAGGTAGAAGAAATGTATAATACATATTTGGACTCATCAGTGGCTTCTGGCCATTTAAAGGGTTAAGGGGTAACATTTTAGGGCACGAGATCTATAGGAACTCTTTCTTGGAGCACACTTTGAAATAAAGTTCAATAAGAAGATAATCTTAAGACTTGATTTATGTAACAGTACTTACAACTACTATGTGATCTTTAATATTCATACACAGCTTTGAAGTTTAGCAATGTAATATGTCAGGTTACAAGAAGTATTGTGATTTTTGAATGCTTTGAAATTAAGTTCAATTAATTAAAAACACATGTAAAATGCGCAATATAAGTCTAAAAAAAAACACTGACCCCTGCAGGTATTTTAGTCACATATTAAAAATAAAATAATTCTCAATAACTACTTTGAATTATTTAGTAACTACTGTGTAATTACTAGTATGTAACTACTACATAAGTATGTAATACTACAAAACTATGTAAGTTCTCTACGTGCAGACTTTTAATATGTAATGCGTTTATATTTTAGTAGTTAATGCAACTAAACAACAGCCTGTATCACAGAACATAAATGAAAATGCATGAAATTCACCGTAAGAGTAGAAAAGTAGTTTCTAAAAGTAAAAGACAAGTGGTTTTTGAATGAAGACATTATAATGACCCTTGTGGCCTTGGCGGGCCAAAGGTTTTGGTGCTTTCTTGTCACCATATGCATCTTCAGTATTTCTAATGGAACTTCTCAGCTCAGTTCGAGATTTTTATTGTTTGTTGTTCTTTCACTGTTCACTGATAGAATAGCAATTAACTTTTTTTTTTTCTTTTCTTTTCTTTCCCTGTCTGTTTGTTGCAGGTCAACCGACCACTCACCATGAAGAAGGAGGGCATCCAGACCCGGAACAGGAAGATGTCCAGCAAGTCCAAGAAGAGCAAAAAGTCGCAGGACAGCATGGACGACTTCTCCAAGAGCCTGATGGAGAAGAGCAGCTCCTTCAGCCCAGCCGCGCTGTCACGTCACATGACCTCCTTTCCGCCCTTCTCGCACTCCGGCCACATGCTGACCACGCCCACTCCCATGCATCCTTCTTCTAGCTTACCGTTTGCCCCCCACCACCCCTCCAGTATGGTCACCGCTATGGGTTAGGCCGCTCCTGCTACCTCTGGACCACCCTGACCATGACCTTTGACCTCAGCACGGTCAGCCTGAACCCCTTGACCTTTGACCCCAGTGACCCTTGAACCTGCTCTCTCTCTCCTTGAACCCAGCCCACAGTCGACTGCTGGAGATTTTGTCTCAACTGTAAGCCCTGCCCCCTAAAAAACTTTTGTATTCCTCACTCCACATTTTCACCACTGCTTAAAAACAGAGAAAGGGAGGAAGAGAGAGAGAGAGAAACAGAGATAGAGACTTTCGTCATCCTCCTTTCAGCATGATCACGATCAATCCCAGCGTTCGTGTACAGATGCCCCTCCTCTTTCATCATGGACTCATTCGAAGGTGAAAGCATCATCCAAAAAGTTTGCAAACTTTGAAAAAAAAACTCATTTCCTCATTCCTCGTCTATCCATCCATCCATCCATCCATCCACCACCACCACCCCAACACTGCACCTTCTTCTTCTGTTTATTTTGGTTTGAGGCAAGAACTCCCTGACCTGTGAAAGACACAGAGGAGATGGACTCTGCATATATTTGTATAAATTGTATGAAATACAGTACATTTAATGAAGACTTTTTAAATGAATTATGGTGAAAAAAGAGAGAGAGAGAAACTAACCAGGAGGAAAAAGAAAAAAAAAAACAAAAAAACAAAAAACGCCCATGGGCAGCTAACGATGAGAAGGGTACGACTCAAACCTGGAGGACGGAACGAAGAAGAAGAAAAAGAAAGGAGGCCGGGAGCGCTCCGCACGGAGCGAAAGAAGGAGAAAGAGAGAGAGAGATAAAGTCAATGAGCGAGAATAAAAAAGAGGAATAGACGAATGGTGGGGAATTCAGGAAAGTACAGGCTGGCTTGGTTTGCCTGTTAGATACAGTGTGTAATGCATTAATGCTAATGTGGTCAGGTGTGTTCCTCTGACTACCAGCTACTCTTTTTGGATGTGTTATAGGTCTTGGGCAATTGGTTTGTGTTCAAGCTCATGTACACACACACACACACACACACACATATACAGAGTAAACACAAGCACACACACATACACACACACAATTACACATAAACACACACTGAACACCTCTATTCACCTGAAAGACTTTTCTTCCGGCCCAGGTTATATGCATTGTGAAAAAAGTTCCTGTATTTGTTATTTGTATGTATAATTCAGAGTACCAAAAATACGAAAGAAACAAAGATGTAGAATTATTTCTTTATGTAATGCAGACTGAATGGTTGTACAAATTTAATAATCACTAGTGTAAAAAAAAAACAAAAAAACAACAGACTTGCTTTTTGTTGCGTAATTTTTTTCTCTCTTTGAAAATAATAAACTAGTTTAATCTCTGTTGACATCATATGTGGACACCATGAAGTGGTCTTTATTTTGTCTTAATGTGTGTGTGTTTATATGCATATGGGTGTATGTGTGACTGTGTGTGTGTGTGTGTGTGTGTGTGTGTTGTGGCTTCACTAGTATTAAAATGTGTGATATTTGTCACGAGGCCTCCTCGGCCTTTAGGCTACACCTCTAGATTTGCCAAAACTGGCCAGCCGCATGCTAACAGGAAGTACTGAAATAAAGTGAGGCCTACTGGAGGAACAAAACTTAACTCGCTCACTCTTACTCACTCCCAAACATCCACGCTACACACATCTAGCTACATCAGACCCTCACACCAGCGTGGACTGAAGGCTGCCCATTAAAGCGCAGAGGCGTTTCCTGTAAGTTAGCACCAGGATGCTAATAAATAAACCAAGTGATACAATAAAGCCCTCTCCGTAATGCGGATGGAGCTAAAGCACATTCCTTAGTCTTAAAATGTTATTTTCCTACTTACATTTCCTAAACGTGGTGTGCAGTACTGTTCAAACATTTGGAACCACTTAAGTCCTGCTTATACCTAGTATTAACATCCACCTCCGATCACAAGTGAAGAGTGAGACATACAGCCATTTACACCTGGCACTTCCATGCATCGTAAATGCATTACCAGTGCGCACTTAGGATTAGACATACTGCACATTTATTGCACTTGTCAGACAAAAATGACCCATGAGTCCTTATTCGTGCACAATTATTAGCTGTTACAACTGTTTAGATCACATGGATTGTTGACCTAACTCAAAAAATGAAAGAGGAGACAAAAAAGAAGCTACAGAGCTGCTTTCATCTTTCCTGTGATGATGCAGGTGGTCATTCTTCACTTCCTAGGATGCATCTAGATGCTTTAGTGTTCACACTACAAATGTTAGGTGGTTGTATGTATTCCAGGCACGCCTGAAGGTGGTTTGGGGGATCAGATCTCAATGGACCACATTCACCATACTCAGTGCTGTCCACTTGTGATCAGGTCACCAGTGAAATATGTTAATGCCAGGTATGAACGGGACCTTATATTAACAATGTTTAGCATTGTTTTCAAAAATAACTGTAGATTGAAATTATAAACCAGCTGCCAACAGATATTGTAGATGATTTATTTGACAAAAAGCATAAAAAATACACTGTAAATATCTATTTTCTGGCAAATTATTATCCGCAACTTTTTAAATATGAGTACCTATGGGTTAAACTTTATTCTCATTGTTATACAACTTTCCTCTTTTCCTCCTCTCTTATGGAATGATCTATCACACTGTTCCTCAATCTGAACACATTCAAAAGGTCTTAATTTGACTGCTTCCTAAGCCTATTATGTTGTTGAGTGTTAAAAGTATGTTAGCATCATTTTTTACATTAATCAGCAAAAAAAAAAAAGGATTTTTTTGTTGAAAACAGTGACTCAAAACAGTCATTCTGAACTTTTGAATGGTAGTATGTGTGTGTTCTTTGATGTGGTGTAACCTTCCCAAAGAAAGGCTTGCTAGTCGTGCTAATCAGAAGGACTTGGCTTTTTAAACTTTGCTGTAGTAACTTCAGTCTCACAGCCATTCTGATCTGCTTTCACTGGACAGAATATGGGAATGTATATTCTAAATATCCAATAGATGAAGTAATACCAAAGGAATGGCCAGGAATGGCCATTTTAAACACTGTGGCTATAAGGTGGCTAATGCAGCTAATCTAAAGCTAAGTTAAAATGTGTTGTAGACAAAGAGGAAATCTTTTTTCTTTTTTCCTCGGTGACTTTGATCAGTGGATCATCATGAGGTCGTGAGGTCATTCCAGGCTGTTCCATTGCAAGTGGCCATAGTCTTCAGTCCACTAACTTTTATGGGTCGTAACAACATGGCTGCCTGGGGGCCTTGGGTTTGATTATAAAACACTCGCTACATGGGAGAGTGGTTCAATTAACCACACGACAAGCCGAAAGAGAGAAAAAAAGGTTGTTTATTAAATATGCTGCCTTAAACTGGTTTGTTCAGACTTGTCAATTTAAAGGAAGCTAAGTGAAACTCTGCCATGTGCAAAGTGCATGGTGGTGTCACTTGTGAAGTAGCAGTATGGGTGTTGTGTGTATCAGCCGCGTTGCTTTGGGGACGAAGCTGTGGCTTTGGTGTATTTGCATGGCAGCGGCAGGGCTGGGGTGAACTAACTTGTCGAGAATGATTCGATGTAGAGGAGAAAGGGGAACTATTTCCAGACCACAGCATGGCCAACCGCCTTTAAACACATACATACAGGCTCATATTTATTTTTATATAAGGTTAAAATACAGGGTCATACATGTGCCCCGTATGTGTTACCCAGATGTAAGTGTCTATATGTTGTAGTAGTAAGCCCCGTATGCATTATACATATATATATATAAGCCTATACATGTAGTGATAAAATGCCCCACATGTATTACATATGTATAATTATGTATATGTTATAATAATATGCCCTAAATGTATTATACATACGTAAGTACCTATATGCAATGATAATGTGCCTCGTATGTATAATATACACATGGGCAAAAGTTTTGGCGCCCCTGGTCAAATGACTTCTGTTGATTGTCTTAGTGTATATAGGTCAACACATCCTCTACATAGAACACACTTCTGCACACTTGATACACCATTACTGTTTATTTGCTGAATTTAACATATTAGGGGAAAAATACAAAAAAATGTAAAAATTAGCAGAAAAATGGCATGTTTAAGTTCCCTGTAGAGGATGTGTTAACTTATTTTCACTTAGAAAAACAAAAACATTTGACATTTGACCACAGGCGTTCAAACTATTGCACACAACTGTAAGTAGCCTAATGTAATAATAATATGTCACATATGTCATTTAAATATGTAAGGATCTAAATGTAATTTTTCCAAGCCTGAGCCTAAACCCTGTCTTAACTTCAGGAATCAAATTTAAAAAATGAAACATTTTCTTTATAAAGTTCTTTTGTGAAAAAGCACTTTACAAAGAACATTAAATCTAAATACTAAATCAGACATTTCCTGAAAATGTACAAAAACAAGCACACATTTGCTCACTTGCTCACACACACACAGACACACACATGCACAATAATACATACAGAGAGAGAGAGAGAGAGAGAGAGAGAGAAATAGGCCCCAGGCAAGAGCGTCCAAAAGAGATTCATCGAAAAACTGATGCAGAAAATAAAATCCTGACCGGAGGGTGCAGAAACATCGGCAGTGGCGGCAGCAGCAAAGCTAAGCGAGAGAGCAGAAGGGTGTGGAAAAAAACTCCTGGCATTAACACACACAGGTCACACAGAAATATCAACACATGCACAGCACAGCTAAGCCTTCAAGAACAGGACCCTGCACTGTTCACTGTATGGCCACTGTCAGAAACAAACCTCATATCTCCAAAACATAACTTTACAAGAGGAGGAAAATTCTTAACTTTAAATGTCCATCAATGTTGTGTTGAATCATTTCTATTGGTCATCATAAAATGTTCACACTATGCAAAGTGCAAACAGTAAATTTATGTTATGAGCTTTTGACTTGCTTTATTACACACACACAAATGATGAATGGGCAAAACTTAGTATCTATTCTTGCTAATACTGATTTTCTCTAGAGTTTTATACATTCTGAAGAGCTCACAAATGACAACACTTAGAGTACAATTTCTCTTCAAAATTTCACACTTACCTCCATAAATCTTCAGTTTATTTCCTTCTATATCAATTTTGGTAAAGAGTAACATAAGTAACATTTATCATAACAAATCAACTTTGAAACTTCTTCTAAGTTCATAATCAGCACTTAGGTTGCATGCATCTATCCTGGATGTAGGGAAGAACACAAATAACTAAAACTGCCATGCAGTTTTACACGTCACTCTTGTTTACTGCTTTTACTCATGCAAATTCTTGTCAAAGGAACATCAATTGTACTCGATGTTTTCCAAACACTCATTGCTATCAGTCTGTTATGTTTCTGTACACATATGTTCATATGTAACTTTCTAGATGTTTAGA